TTTTTGATCGTTCTTAATGACAGTTTGCCGTGACTTCAATTGAAAGATGTTAGCTAGAGGTTACAAGGGTGCAAAAAGAAACATTCTTTTACAGAGAAAAAAAAACCATTCTTTTACAGAATTATTAACATTTAAGGCCTCTAGTCTCCGAAGTAAAACTGAGCGAAAGACATTCGGATAGAGATAAAATATTATAGCTGTAGAATTCAGAGCGTGGTTTCCACGCCCAGAAATCTACCACAACTTGTCAAATTTTGACCGTGCGTAAACCTAACAAATGGCTTCGAAATATATCTTTCCGTTCTTTTCTGCCCTTTCAAACAATAGTATTTTCAGGTTTAAACCCTGTTCAGCCATCGGGTTCTAATGCACTCTCAGAACATGTTTTAAGTCTATCAACCACAGGCCCAGCCTTAACTATATAACAGCTGAATGTGCTGGATTTTTTTGGTCAGTTATTTTTCGCGCATCAACGGGTGTGAATTTTTGTGGGTTTACCTACGTCAGATTCAACATTTTTTCCCATACGCAAGTCGTTTATATATATAGAATATTATATACACACGTAAATCCAGTTAACTTCACGTCCGTTGTAATATTGGAAATCCTACTTTGAGAAGGAACTGATAATCGGAGAATGTTCATGCTAAGAATGTTGAAAAAATCCTACTTTACGTACCGTACACAGCAAATCCAGCCGATCACGTTTTCTTCTAACTTAAGATCACTTTCTGTACGACTAACCACTTTTCAGTCTAAACCATAGTATATCCGGCAGCGACGCGATGGTATTGCAAAGTGCAGGCAAAGTGATTCCTTAATATCACCTGGTCATGTGATATCAAATATCACGTGACAGACGGGTGAAGCATACTCAGTCAGCACATCAAAGTATTTGTGTGTTTAGCTTTGTTATTCGTTGAGTGCCACTTAATTAAGGGCCCCAGCTTAATTTAATATCAAAGTCCTTGGTTTTCAAAATCGAGAGTGTATCACTAAACGCAACACATAACTGAATTTGCCCCACCTAAAACTAAGGAATATCCGAGTGATAATCCCCAATTTTTAAAACTGCGTTGTTGAGAAAAATATTTGAAGAATATTAAACACAATAGCCTCCATTTAGCGCGAAAATAAGCTCGAATATTTGTCCTTGGACATTATCTGTTCCTCAAAGCTCACACTTTTCCTCGAGCTTCGCTTTCGGAAAACCTTTCGCTTCTCGGAACAGATGATGTCCAAGGACAAATATCCGAGCACAGTTTTGGGTTTGGGGTTTTATCAATTGAACCAAAGGTCTGGAACACAGAACTTCACTGAAGACTTGACTTTGCTAGTGAAAGGGTCAAATGAAGCTGTTTTGAGAAAGTTGTGCTACAACGGCGTATAAACGTTCGCGACCGTGAATGTCGAAAGGACTTATGGGTAATGGTGGTTTACGGTTGTGGCTTGATTGAAGCTTAACAGAAGGTGTAACAGCTTGATAGAAGAAAACAGCACAAACACGTGTACTCATGTTGGCTTGCTCTTCAATTCTTTCTTGCTGAAATACCGTCAACCTCAACCAAGCAATGATAAACTGTCACTACCCAATCATTGTAAGTTTCAGGTTCAAAACGTAAACGAGCAACCAGCGTGTGTCCTGCGGTGTTCTGCTAATTAGTACCATTTAATTTGCGCACGGTCGAACCTCCACCAACGGCCATCTCCCTACAACGGCCAGCTAATCATCGACTGACGAACGGTGTGTACAAAACCCAACTTCTTTTATTGTAAAAGGCCTCCAAACTTGATCCGTTCCTCGCGCCGTGGGCCTCTGTTTCCGTTAAGATTCTGTTTCATTGATACATTTTGATTTATATATGCTGCAATAAGCAATTTTTTTTTTAACAAATCGATGTTGTAATCCCCCCAAAACAGGTTTCCTATTACACCCCCACCTTCCTATAACGGCCACCTCTCTACACCGGCCACTTTCCTCTGTCCTCTCTAAGGTTCGACTGTATTAATTACAAGTGTCAATGTGAAAATTTGGCTATGATTGGCCAGTTCGGTGCAAGTGATAGAATTATATCTTCGTAGTGGTAAAAAAAGGACAATCAGTGGAAGAACAACAAACAGCTTGGGTTATACTGAATATAATGTTTAGGGGTGCTCAACAATGCTTTGATCATGAAGCCACTGCGGAATAGGGCGGTTTTCATTTGAGTGTCGAGAAGTAATTGGTTTTGCATCACTACGCTACGCGATTGGCTTAAAAAACTCGCGCCAATTTTTCGTTCAGTCAAAAGTAAAACCAAAACCAATCACGAATCGTTCGCAGACGTTTTCCCGCTCTTCCCGTTAGCTACATGTAATTACTTCGAGTTTTGATTGGCTTACTGTATTGCCCGTGTCCTTCGCGATTGGCTAGAGCGATTACTTTGGTTTTTCTTACGAGACGCAACTAAAAATCGCCCAAGCCAATAAGGAATTATTTATATACCCTTACCCTTGATATGACGAGTATGAGATGATGCAATATGGGCTATATAGGTATGTGCGGCCCCAAAGGGAATGGCTTTTGAGCGGTTTTGGTCAGAAATAGAGTACGGTTTTTACACTCTTGTCTTTAATTTGGGATGTCTTTTAGTAGAGGCTATCCTACTTAATACAGGAAGCACATAAACATTGCCTTTAACATTGGTCTGAACTAGGGAACTAATAATTAGTTTCGTAATTATGAGACAATTCTGAAACAGGGTATTGATTTAAGGGTATCGAATTTTTGATCGGGTCATAAATAGGGAAGTAAAAATCGCAGATTTTGGTCTTACATAGGGTAAGGCTTTTGGGAAGTGGTCCGCACACCCCCCACCCAAGTTTTCTGGGAGTATACCCCCCGGGAGTTTCGCTCTTATTGAAGTCTGTACTCGTTGCGTTCGGAACTGATCTGGTCTGTCATGACATATCCACGATGATTTGTTCGATAACGAAACAAGAACCAAGCAAAAAGACGCTCCGCATGAGGGTTATGAAACTGAAAAACTCGATATCCTGTACGATACTATTTTAGAATATTAAATTCTCTGTCACTGAACTGAAGCTAACTGAAATAGAAAACTTGATCTGAGAATATCGCAAAATCTTCAAGAAATCGATCTTGAAAGTAATTAGTATGTTAAGTGACGTGAAAACTAAATTCTAGAAGAATTAGCAGCGTCCTTAAGATATTATTTTTTCTTTTTATAAATAAAGACTTATCTGCGTGATCCTCGGTTTACAGAACAGGAAACGCACCAGCCCTACCCAGACTGTAAATGAAATGAACCTATCAATATCATTTAATCTCTGTTACAGAACCCGCGCACATCAAGCTGAACCTCATCCATCAACTAAGCCATTTAAAAGCGATTGGCTCCTCTCTGATTATTCGACAGATGTGTTCCTTGAATGATAAACCCCTCTGAGAATTTTATCAACGGCGACCAGAATAATCTTTCAAACAAGGCGCTCTATGTTTCATTTACTCAGGAGCGGGAGTCTTAATCCACGCAACTGCGGTAAATGCATCCGCAACTGAGATTCAACTTAATTATGGTCGACTGTAAATACTTTGTTTGCTCGCTCGCTTCGTTCACAAACCCGCGAGGAGCCGTGATCCAGATTGTTACGTCTGACCGCTTTGTCCTAATATGGTTCATATCCTGAGTGGGTAATGTAAGGCGTTTCTTTTTCATATCGCAAAGATAAGAAACTGAAAAGCAACTAGACCTCTTCAGAATCACTTGAAAACTTAAGATGTTCGCGTTTTGTAAACAAAAGGGACAATTTGTTTGCATTTTGCGAATTTTACAATCTTCAACATTTCTATTAATACACTCGCGATCGAAGAAATAAAACCTGTGCTTTTTGACTCGTCAGCGAGAAACGGATCGAATTCTCTCTTGTGTTGTTGCAAGAGGAAACAATGACGGATGGTTTTCGTCTAGAGAAGGCAAGAGCTCTTCTGAGTATTGACAGTACTACTTTCACAACCTAGCACAAGCAGCCCGCAAAGTTTATATGGCTATCGACATCGGACGCTTACTTGACATACTTGACAATATTTCGACGGCGCCTCCCAATAGGGTTAACAAGGGCAAATGACTTGAATCTGTCTAATAGATACAGCTGCACTTCAAGACACTCGAAAGTACTCTTCGAGTTAAAACAACAGCATTCCTTGTACCAAAAATTATCGACTAGAAAGTTATTCCTCCCAAAGAAAACATCAATCACAACCTACCTTAGCCGTGAACGAATCAGTCTTTTAGAAAAGTTGTCTTTCATCCGTGCAGTAAGAGACGATATCGCATGTTCTGACTGATATACGTCCTAAGTCGGGATGACTTCACTCCTCTCTCTCCCTCACACCAGGCGGCAAATGTAAATCAGCTGCCTTTCCGCCGATCAAATCGCTTTCTATAAAAGTAATTAAGACAGAACAAAAGCCGGTCGTCACTCGCACAGATCCTCGGCAAACAGTTTACTGTGGAATGCACAAACACACCAGGCGATAAGGCGACAACGCTTCGGAACCCGAAGTATTTGCTACACAAAAGAACTTTACACGTGTTTTTTGTCAATTAATTTTCATAATTGAAAATAGTAATAGAGCTCGTTCATTTGAGAGGCTCAATTACATCATTTAAAATCGACGGATTTTTGAAGGGGTGCAACTTTCTTTGACAAATATCACGGTGCCGTCTAGTCAGCATAAATTGAGCCGCTATCGACGAAAGTTTGTGGAAGCCAGCCAGTTTACCGCATCGTGTATCTTGAATGTTTTTTTCTAATAGCTTTAGTGATATGTAAGCACTCAAAATGTCTTGAATACTTTTCTGGATCTCTTCGATGAAGCAGTGTGTTTTTTCATGGCATATCAGTTTCACTTTTTTTATTTAGTCTATACACAGTACTGGAGACACTTCAAATACGCAACAAATGTGAATAAGGTACAAGAACAAACACTTCTACACACAGGGGGTCTTGAGGCTGCTTAAGAGCAGAAAACAAAATGTTGATAGAATTATTTAGAGCACCTCTTGTACATTCGTCTGTATCTACACCTGCACTTTAGAAGCAACAACAATACGACCAGAAACAGCAGGAGGGGAAGGGGAAGGAGAAGAAGAGGAAGGAGCTTAAACCAGAAGAACAAGCAAGAGATATTCCCATAGTCCTCTATGTGCTTTCTCTTCCCTAGTCTGCAATGAGTGCCATTACCCTTAAAATCTGCAGTGGCGGATCCGGATTTTGAGCTAAGGCGGGGGGATGGGGGGCGCGTTTGTTTTACTTGCCCTGCCGGCTTTTCTTCCTTCAGTCATTTCTTCTTTTTCCACCCAAAACAGGGGGGGGGGGCGGGTCTCCCGGGCCCCTCCCTAGATCCGCCACTGATCTGCCCTATAAGTTAGTGTCGTTTCTCCTCGCTTTTGAAGCCTGGAAACTCAACTTGTAGTCTCAGAGGAACTTCGGAGGTTACTAATCTCTATACGAATTAGGACCTCTTTCATTCAGTAAGAGTTATTAACATTGAGAGGGCATGTAGTATCGACCTTGTATTGTATTTAAACCAAGAGATAAATATTCGTAAGTTCGCAAAAATAAAAACAGCTGCAAGTGTTAAATGAATTGTTTTACTATTCGGTGGCTATAGGGCTTACAGAAAAATACAGCTTATGGCATCTTCAAAATAGAAATATATTTCTTTTACAGTCCATTAACGATGAAAAACTCAGGCCCAAGAACTCATTACATTGTTCTTGTTCATCAGTGTAAGATTCACACAATTCAAAATTACCGCTATCTGACGATAATGGAACTATAATTTTAACCTAGTTCTTAGGGTCCCACTCGCTCACTTGCTGCATTGCGATCTGGGTACAAGTTTGTGGTTCTTATCACAGAGACACGTGTTCAGAATGCTTTGATTTAATGTGATTCAGCAGGCCTCTATAACGCACAAAGTTTCTTCCGCAATGTCTACATTTATGAACAGTGTCCTCTGTCTCGTGTAGTTTGACGTGTTTCTTCATGTTGCTTGGATCGCTAAACGACTTGTCGCATACTTTGCAGCGGAGTGGCTTGAAGCCGGTATGCGTGCGCATGTGGATTTTCAGCACGTATTTCCTGCAGTATACTTTACCGCAGTATTCGCACGTAAAACCCTGGTTTCGTGGGGAAGTCTGGGGCGAGTTTGCAGCATGATGCCCAAAGAATGGAATCATGCGCGGATAGGTAGAGTAGCGGTATATTGAGTCGACAAAAAACGCGGGCTCATGATAACGCGATAGATTCTCAGTTGTTTGGTGCAGGGAGGACGCTGATATGCAATGGCATTGTAAATGTTGTTGAAAAGTCGCGCCGTTGTCTCGATGCATTCTCTGATATGCAAAGTACGACCCTAATCTAGAAAAGTTCGTAGGTGAAAGTAATTGGTTGAATTGGTTTGAGCGGCAAATGTTTCGATCTAACTCTTCTATAAGCGTCGCCTGATTTTCCTCATTCTCCTCGGTAGTTATTTCTTCGATTGAATTCGTCTCTCTATTGGAAGTTGAGCTCTTACGCTGCTTCGAAATGTCACTTGAGTCATCATGGTGATGGCACGTGCATTCACGAGCTGGTGCACGTGACAAATGTTCTTCGTGCGCACGCATACTTTCGTGACCATTTGAAGGGGGGCACCCACGAGTGATGAATGTCAGTTTGGATTCCGAAGAGCTCGCAATATTCGAATGAGAATTAAAAGAGTCATTTAACGGCAGATGTTCATTTTGAAAGTTATATTTTGAAGCGTTTTTCCTACTTCCATTTTGGAAAATTTCACCCTCCGATGATGGAGCAAAATAGTTGTTGCTTTTATCCAGATCTATCATATAATCGTCACGAAAGCAGTCTATAAATTCATCTTTCTCTTCTTTTATGTGTAGTTTTTCTTCATCATCCTCCAAAGAAAACTCACTATCTTCTTTCGTCATGAAAGAGCGCCGATACTGTGTGGCACATCTCCTCTCCATGCCCTCACGGTAAAGGTGTCTTCGAAGGTAATGCTCGTTCCCTTGGAATTTCTTTCGAAATTCTTGCTTGTGGAACTCAGCTAATGATTGTGGTTCGTTGGCAAACTTTCGAAAGCGGGGCCGTGAAAAGCTTGAAATCAGACTCGCCAGTTTGGGATTGGACAAGACACCACTGTGACTGAATGTTAAAGATTGCCCGTTCATTTTCGGAGAAGTGTCTCTCTGGGTATTTCTCTCATTCCAGTGACCTTGTTCGGCAGTGGAGGTCTTCGCCTTTACTCTCTCCTCATGGTATTCCATTCCTAATTCTTTGGATTCGAGAGATGAGTCTCCGGCGCTATCATTTGGTACTAAACCATGAATGCCTGCCGTTTTGTCAATAGTTAGCCCTCGTGGGCTTGTACTGGAGCCTAGATTGCTGCAGCCATAAGTTGTGTGAGCTACAAACGCGCGGGAATATTGAAAGGTTTCTTTACAGTGTTTGCAGATCCACTGATAATCTACAACAAGATAAGTCAATAGTAATTAGAAAATTTTTATCACTAGTTAACTTGAAACAAAATTCTGATACGAATGTTGGCGTTTATAATGCACAAAATACTGCCAACCAACAGCTTGAAAGAAAGTTGCGGAGGTACTTTCCGTCTGGCCTATTCTAGTGTTCATAAAATACTTGAGAAACTACGCGTGCCCTCATTGGTCGATATGTATGTTGAGATGAGAGCATGTGAACACGGTTGTGACGTTTTAGATTGGCGCACGTTTTTGAGAAATATTTTATTAAAGCAATCAATAAAGTAATTTTTCCGTGTTTACATAGCCTCGTCAAAACATTTGGGAGTTGGGAGAATTCTCCAAAGTTATGTGAACCCTCGGCTACGTCTCGGGTTTGTATAACTGACTCGAATTCTCCGAATACCCCTCTCGTTTAGATGAGGCTATCACTGAAACACGGAAAAAGTGCTCTATTGCTTAAATATGACTCCATTTTTTTTCGGACGAAAAAGCTATTTAAAATAGTGTTGGTACAACTGACCTTTAAACGCCTCCTCAGAAATGCATCCCAATCCATGTTCTTCCTCCAAAGACGGAGCCAGCCACACTCTCAGTTCTTCACCAGACGATATGTCTCTTGTGGTCCTGAAGTAAATTTGATCTCCGTCAGGAGTTCTTATCGCTTCCATGTTCTGTTCATCTTGGAAACGAGCAGGATTCACCTCGGACATCCACGAGAAATCGCCCTCCAGCAGATTGTGTTCGTTGTAATCTCTTTTCTCTGATGCCTGCAGAAGAAATACGGCTTCAGCTTGAGGACAAGGAAAGATACTTATGTTCAAAATCGTACCTACGGTGGCCCACGCAGGCAGTACAAAAATATTTATTACAGACCAAACACGTTTGTTACAGTACAAACGTGTTTATAACAGTACAAAAATATTAACTCTGGAGATAATTTTTTCAGCTCAAACATCCAATACAAATGTATTATTCCAGCACAAGTATGTTTATTGCACTATAAATCAGATTTTTTTTTACAGCAGATATATCTTTTTTCCAGTGCAAAAATTTTCATTATTTCCCAGTCCAAAAAAAAATATTTTTCTCTCATCCCTTCTTATCCTGCTTTGTCCACTTAGTATTATTCCTGTCAAAACATACTGGCTGGTTTGTGTACAACAGACATGCAGCGAAGAGACCGTCGCTAGCTCAGTCACTCTTTTATCGTTACCAGTGACAATGGCCTCAAGATTTACCCTAGGTATTTCACCCGAACCACAACTGCAACATTTTTTGCATGTGAAAAACTTTCGTACCGCCTCTATGAGTCACAGTAAAAATGGTTTGACAATAACAGTGGGTTTGCCATTTTTGCCCATAAAGACTTTTTCTTTGAAATCAAAAGAAAGATTGCCGGGCTCTGGCGGCGGAGGAGGCCGCAACATTATACAGAATAGACTGCATTATTTTCGCTGTACACTAATGACTTTCTCACCAGTGTCAACGCCCATTTCCATTTTTGACGCCACTTAGAACTTAACTGCTAGCGTAATTTACCAACACATATTAGAGAACGAAAGGTTACAAGCAGAGAAAACTGCGTTATCTTTTTTTAGCTCGTGCAGACGAAAGAAAAAAATACTATCCATCAAGACATATCTGCTCACCATTGCTCAGCGATTAGAGAAAAACAGAGAACTGCAAGGTTTCTTTAGTGGTTTGGCTCAGTCACGACAGCGAAGGAAGACTACCGTACTCCTCGCCTCCCGTCAGTTGTTTGAAAAGAGTTGTTCAAATATGTCCAGAGATTGAAATTTTAAAATCTCGTCGTTCCCAAGCAAAAAATATCGATCTCCGTAATGAGCGCCTTGGTTTCATTCTATATAGGTTATGAGAATCTGGTGTTGCAATATCCCCCGTTTGATGATTTTCCTAATTCTCCTTACCTGACTACTTGACAGTGTATAAACATTATGAAGATAAATCAGTTGTTAATCAGTCTTGGGAATTAGAGAGTTAGAGAGTTATGCTGGAAAAATAGAAACTCAAATTCTCATATTTACTGGCCATACTTCCACTTGAATCTTTACTTAGCAACTCAGGAAGCGCATAAAAACGAGCCTCTTAAACCATGCGAGGGCGTTGAATTGAAGCGGAAAATCATTGGATGATTTGAGATCTAGGGAAATTGACGAATGTATTCAAAGAAGTGTTCCGTCGAGGAAATTAACTCTCACGTACTGAGGACATGAAAGTTTTCATTTCCTTTAAGTTGAATTGAAAATGAACTTGTCTGCTGAGAACAAAGCAAATGTTGTGTTTATTTTTGTCCTGAAACAAAGCCCGGTTAAAGTGTGAGCAATTTAAACGCAAAAAATGCTTTTAAGAGCATTGTACAACATGTGCGACCAGCCAATTATCTTAATAGTTTATTCACGATTGATCAGCGTTAACAACAGGGTTTTGGCTTAGTCGGTAACTCTTTAATCATAAGGGTGATCTCTTGTTTTTTTTAATTTTATAGTTACCTTGGTGGTTGAATTATCATAACGTAGAAAAGGAACTGCTCACTATTTTCACGGTCAATTAACATTCTTTTTTGGTGCTTTTTAAAGTTTGACCTTCTGTGCGGCATCCCTGGAACCTTAGTAACTTTACTGAATTGCCTCATCAAAGCACTCCGAATAGGAAAATTTTTACTTATTGCTGAATTTTTCAAGTACGTATTGACTCACATTGATAATAGTTCTTTTAATTTGTCAAAAGAAAACAAGCTCAAAACAATCCGCAGAACTTCTACAAGTAATTTGAAAACATTTTGCTACCTGAGCTCAAACAATCATATTTTGCCGCTCTGCATTTAGCGTAAAATCTACAGGTATAAAAATTTTGAAAAAAAATATAAGGAATTTTCTCTGTAACTTTTATGCAGCAAAAGAGGATGATTTAGGACCATTCCTTCTTGCATGCAGTTATTTTCACATTTTGAGGACTTCTTTTAGTTTATTTTATTCATTCAGGTATATACATATATGTTTACCGGCACTTAAAAAAAAAAAAAGAAAGAAATCGAAGGTGGCGGCTGTTCCGATATCATGACAGAATTTCCACGTGATATCACGTCATCATGCCACGTTGTTTAACTCAAAGGAACCATTTTTTGACCGTGGTATGTACCCTCTAAGGAGTACATGCATGGTTATTGTTTAACAATTCTTGAAGTTATGGAGACGATCAATCCTCCCTCCTCCCTCCGTCATACAAGATCAAAATTAAAGGATTGGAGACATCACATCACAGAATGTAAATGTATTTAAAAAAAGTAATTTCGCTATGTTTTGTCAGAAATCTTAGATCTTCCATTGCTATTTGACTTTCGCCGAGTTCTCTCTTCTATCAGGATAAGCTAAATCTTCTTGTCTTGTTTCGCGACCATTTCTTCTTTTAGTCGGATTACACGTTTTCATTTGAACAGCGACTAGTTGCAAGTAGGGCCGTAGCTAGTAAAAGACAAACTGAGGCACTTGTCTCAGTCATTTTTTTTCGTTTTCGTTGTTTATAGTGATCATAAACACCCTAAATACCTAGGAAGAGACCGAGGACATTGCCTCAGTCATATTTATCAAGGACATTGCCTCAGTCATAACTGATTTTTTTTCTGGCCAAGGCTCTGCCAAGCAACCCTTTCTCTCGAATTGCACTTCAGATAAATATATGTTTCATTTTCATTTACAAACACGGTTTTTAAATCATTCGATCTCTCGAAGATAATTTCCCTTATTTATATATAAATATTTTCTTCAAAGCTACTTTTTTAGCCCAGACCATATTTATTCATACAAGTTTAAAAAACTGTGAATTCGGATCAGTATGGCTCCTGATTCGGATCTTTTTCTTCATCTCATGTCGTTGTGAAAATTTGAAGAGGTAACGCCTGCAAGAACTGTGTTCCTGACAGAGTAGACTAATTTAGGCGTTTTAAAACAATAGCATCGCGACTTCATCTCGTGTGATTGTTCAAATGAAAAGAAGTCTTGTGAAACACTTCTTGCGATGACAGATATTTCAACAACAACTTTTAGTTTCATACCGTTGAGGAACGTATTAGTAACGACTTTTTTTATGACTTATTCATTCTTCCCAAAACGCTCCTTCTTGCTTTTGTGAAGAAATGCCCCAGTTGTAATGCGTGTACATTAAGCTGAAGCTCTATGACTCTTTCGATTCTTTTATGGCGAGCGACAAAGCATCGTGAACGTAAATATGGACTAAATCAAGTCCGAGACGACTCCCACTCCAAAACTGTATTGTTTTAAGTGCGAAATGCTTTTATACATTGTTACCACAGTCTACCAGCTAATAGCACTATCACTGAACGCCAAATGTTTAATTCTCAAACAAGATTTAAAATGGTGTCATCAAAAATATTGCTGTCAGTCCTTTTAACACATGTCCTTTTTGTTTCATGGGAGGGGTGAGAAGAGAAAATATTGCAACGCGCGAAGCATATTAAATATTCAACACGTTGCTGGGAAGATTGACAGCGAACGTGTTTTTGTTTCCTTTTTGTTTTAGAGACGTATCTATCCTGTTCAGCTATTGTGATGGATCGGTTTTATAAACAAGTTCCTTTCTGAGCTATTTGTTCTATTATATTCTTTCTTTTGAACCCCTTTCTTTCCGTGTTATTTCAGTGAACTGTTCCGAGATAACATGAGAACAGATGTTTTGCTCTACGCGCGCGACTGAGCTTATAAAACTCTAAACCAATGCGATCTTCATTTCATTTCATTTTTTTTTTTTTGCCTCAGCTCAGGTATTAGTACTATCGCTTCTTACTCTGGCCGAAACGGTTTTTTTTTTTTAACTTTAAACTGCTTATGGCAGTTGATGGCTATTAACACCGCGCCATGAGAACAACCCATATGTTCTGAAGTTGTATTAAAGTATGTCAGCTATTAAAAATTTGTCACAGAATTCATTAACACATGCAAAGTAAATACATTTCGATCTAAGTGAAACAGACCTCTACATGGTTCAATCTCATGAATCTGTTAATCTCGCCAGTGACGCTGGATATTGCCAAAAACCCTCTTCTTCAACAACTAATGTATTTTCTGGCGATTCAAGCTCCAAAGCGAAGAATAATTTCAAATCACTAAAACCAAAGCTAATTGCGACATTGACTGGGTCGAATGAAGACTAACCTTAAGTGCTTGTAAATATTTGAATGGAAAGCTCACTTATCGATTAATGTTTACTTTTATGCTGTTTACTTTGTAAAGTTCTCTGAGGAACTCAGGAAATTTCAACCGAAAAATTGTCATGACAAAAAAACACGATGAATCCGCCGACGATTTTCCGCCAGACTTGCGACGTTGTCTATTTTAACTCACAGTCAATTGACCTTAATGAAGATCGTAAATGGCTGTGGGAAGATAAAATTTTTGCCACGCAGCACCTAACAAATACGACCGCTGTTTGAGCTCTTCAACTTGAAAATTACCAAAAGACTAAAGGAGAAAATAAAGATCACGAAAATTTATTGCTCTGATTTTTTTTTGACGGCGACGAAATAGAAACGTTACGGTTTTTTCCTGTGGACTACATACATTAGAGGAATCAAATAGCTTTGGACATGGCCGATCACAAAAGAGGTATATCCCCCTTATATCCAGTTTAGTCCTTTCTAAGGAAATATATTCGCTCTCGGCCCGATGCAGTAAAAACGAAAACTAAATATATTTTTTTTTTGGACACAGACTTCGTTACAAAACTAACAACGACACCGAAAATATTACTACCTAATCTCCAGCCACGCAATGGCGCTATTTTTTCAAGGCAGTCTAGTGCACGCAGTTTGTTTCATCGGTGATTTGGCTTAGTTTTTCCTTGTTCACAGCCTTTTAAAACGAAAATAAAATAATAGAGAGGGTCAAAACATTAAAAAAGAAACTTTCGTTGAGTGAAGGCTATCGATCATGTTGACAACACATAGAAGAAGTTTTGTACAACTGCTTCTGTACACACTATTTAGCTTATAAATGAACAGCTAAGTCACGAAACAAGCCGACCCATTCGAAATCTGAATCAGAGAAGTTCCTTGGAGGCCAATGTTGCGAGAATGTTCTCCTGTGGCTGTTCAAAATGTCATCTTTTAGAGCGACTCCGATACGAAAGCGGGACATCTCATTCTACGCTCGATCGCTCATAATCAGTGCATGGCCGAATGTTTTTTTATGAGACAGAACCCGTATACGTAGAGAGAATCCTTCTGTAGAATATTATGATCGATGACAGAATCGGTGAAAGCTATTTAGAATTTCAGTTATAAATTGAGCTTAGTACCGCAATTTTGAAGTGTGCCTTAGATGCTTAACTGTAGAATACAAAACAAACTGATATATGTCGTAGTTAGTTTTAAAACATACCTTCTACACTGGTCATAGTTTTGTGCAAAGCTAGCAAAGCTTGAGCATTTTCCTTTTTGCTAGCTCCCAAAATGTTCTTAATTATTATATTTTTCATTCTCGTGTTTTCTCTCTTGTTGCTATATTTTTCCTTTATTACGGGCAAAATTAAAATCATACCAAATATTGAATTAATATGCATTATCAAGCGTGTGGAGCGAAACAACAAAATTTTCTCTCCTTTTTTTCCGAAAAAGGTCAGTTTCGGCAGATCCTTTTTACGTTTTTCGCTCTCCAGAAAAGTACAAAAGTTTCGGATCAATAACTTAAATAGATTTGCAAAGCCATGTTTTGTATTCCAACCGTTGACACTAATTCGACTATTTAAGCATATTTTATGTAATTTCAATTAGAGACAAAAAATGTGCTGTGTTTTTAGTGAATGAAAATCTTGAAGAGAACCGACGTTTAGCCAGTGTTTGGATCATTTTTATGCCGCAATTTGTTTCAAAATGAAACTTCTCTGTTGTTCTCTTTTGCCGTTGAAATAATACCCCAACTGATACCAATAATCCTGGATAAAAACCTGCAGATTAACTCAAATCGCTGGGAAGTTTCTTTATGCTTGTATCAATTTCCACTCAAGTGCATTGAGACAAAAAATCAAACCCATTATAACTATGGAATCACCGCGTCAAGTCCATAAAGAAACCTTAGTTTTTTATGGCTTTAAGGTTCTACCCTGCTGTTAAAATGCTATAAAACATGCCGCCAAATTCAATAAAAAAAAACATCAGCGCTTACCTTGAATTGGACCGAAGGTGTTAGTGGAAACTGAACTCTGTTAATCAACTGGGTAACATCTCCTTGGTACGGACCGAAAAAAAAGTTTCCGGCGAGAAAGCTCTTCGCCCACACTCGACAGTCTTTCCGTGCTGAAATTATTTTTGACATCGTGCGTTTTTTTGCCAGTTCTAGCTCGAAATTCAGTGTTGTTTCGCAGGAACTAGTGTAAAATTTTTCAGGTGGTTCAGTTGACCCTTAAAAAGACCTCTGAGTGGGAAGAGAAAAGTAATCTCATTCCTCGAGCAAAGAAAAGTCGTACTTGAAATCACAGAGGAGAGAAAAGAACTGACAATTTATTAACGCTTGTCTTGTTTTTATTTTTGCATTTGAGTGTGGGAACGCAAGCCTGTTACGCATCTGTTGACCTAATAGGTTTTAGTCTTTTAATACATTGTTTAGATAAAATACCTTTGTTCTTTATTTCTTTAAAGTATCTATTATTGCCTCTAGAAGCTTTTAAATACATGTCGAGAACAGACATCTGTGAAAGAGTCCAATGAATCAAACCCAATTCAAGTCACTAATTAAACCAAATTGGACTCAGGTTGACTCCGTATGTTAAATCGTATTGTGATGCGGTGCATATTGTTTTCTCGTGCATTCAAAGGCTATTTCGCGCTATTTCCTGCATGGTTTTAGGGTATCAGGGGCCATCTATGATCCATATGTCTCAATTCCCATTAAGTATATCAAGAATGTTCCTCACATTTTTGTTTTCCCAGGGACTTATCCATGTACTGTTCTCGCGATCAGCTCTGCCAAAGTCCTCTTTTCGCCTAATTCTGTGAATTTAACTGAAGAAAATGGAAATTCAAATGTCTAGCTATATATGACTCGCTAGACTTAACAACTGACTTAGTGCAATAGATCATATACCTGGGTCAGCAATTTTCGTAGTTAATCGTAACTTTTCAGAGAGGACTCGTCTGCCGATTTTATATTGGCGCAATACAAACCTCTTTAGTGAAAGAGTGTGCAGTGATATGCGTTTGACAGTTGATGTAAGTAAAGGAAAAATATAAGAAATCAAAATTAAAAATAGAAACGAAAAAGAAGAAACAGCTGAACAGCAAAAAGATTAACAGAACCGGAATTTAATTAGTTAAAACCAAATTAGCTCGCTGATGAAATGCAGTTTCTTTAATTCACAGCTTGAGGAAATCCTTCTGTTTCCACCCTGTATAATGACTGAAGAGCTTTTAATATGTTCCTAAGAATTACAGACCTCATGATCGCTTGGAAAGCTTGAGTATCAGTCGTAAAAGAGTTTCGGCGCTAGATTCAACGAAAGTTCACTTTTTTTGATTAACCGAAAAATTTCCATATGTCAAAGGTGTTTCCGCTCGAAAACATATAAGCTTGATAAATGTGATGTTTGTAGGTAGTAAATCTTTTCCCGAGCATATCTAAATAATAATGGCATGGTTCTACCGTCGCTAATTAGACTTAAAATACAAGGACACCAAAAAATTACACCTGATCCTAACCACAGTATAATATCGAAAACCTGAACCAAGGAATAATTATCATTTCATCTCAGGAGAGGCCGCCTAAACATAATGACATAATTTTTGTGCAAAGAACTATTGAAGTTCGAAATGTCCACTTTTCATGATGAAAAATTGGCTTTATTTAGGAAACATTTTCGTTTTAGCCATCACTTTAGGAAAAGGAAATTGAGCATTATTTTCAATGCTTTCAATCCAATCCTTTCGGTAATTAAAAACTTTGGCTTTGGGAAGCCAGAGAGTTTTAACTTTCTTCGAAGGCCGAATGTCAGATTGGCTGAAATATTATCTCTTCAGACATCGTTAACAAACAGGAAAGCAATCGTGATGTTTCTAAATGTTGCTAAGCAGGTGACGAAAGCGAGCGCACCCCACGTCACCGGTAATCCGGTAAATGCGGTGAAATTTCCCCTGGATTCTCGTTTCTTTTTTCAAAGCAAATTTGAAGGAGAGCTTAGCTGCAAGAATCGACTACTCGAATATTAGAAACCAGAAAAAGAAGGAAAAAGAAACGGTTTTCATCCTTTTTAATCTGCCCGGTCCCGTGAACTCTAACCGCGAGACCCGCGCACACCCGCAACGTTCCCGCATATGGACTTACTCAGGTCTAGCTCTCCGCGGCCATTTACAGGTGACGCCTGGCAACAAATGTGCTGATGTAGTTTTACCGGTTCAACAATACGATTTCTGTCGGCTATGTCTTAGGATCAGCTTAGAACTCAACTCACTAGAACAGAAACATGGCAGAAAGTCCTTCGGCGGGGTATGAACTCCAAGATGAAAACGGTAAAAAGTCTTTCAGCTGTTTAAAAATTCAGGGTATCCATCTTTGTCACACGCATGTACAGTAAATAATAATGTTTTTGTTTTTGTTAACTCATTTAGATGTACCTCCTCTGGAGGATATGTCAGAACTAATTCAACAAGTAAACAAGTTACGCGAGGATGTGTCACCTGGACAATCGTCGGAACAATCGACAAAAATGTCAGCCACAAAACCAAAGATAAAGTCAGAATCTGCAGCACAGGTAATATTTCCCTATCTGTCCTAACATTGGGCCATTTCATTTATTATCGGCACCCTCCCCCTCCCCTATTGGGGTACTTTTTATTTTACCCCCTCAGAAAAGTTAACTTTCTGCCCCTTGAGAAAGGAAGATCAAACTGCCGACACACTTCTCCCTTTCATAATTTATTAAAAGATCAAAGGAGCCAACAGTTGCCCCCTCAGAAACGGCCTTTAACATTAACGACTCTCCCCCCCACCTCAGATTTCCTAGTACCTCAATAGGAGGGGTGGGGGTGCGGATAAAAAAAATGGAATGGCCCATTAATTGTGTGGTCTAAACCAAGGGGAAAAAGGGTTTTAGTTTGTATTATTATGTAATTCACGTATGGATAGAAAAGAACCAACATAAGTGCATTAAACTTCTAGTTGTGATTATTGGGTGATTTCAATACTGTGACTGACTTCTGCTGATCAGATGGTACTGGCATGTGGTCAGAGAGAGAATGAAAATATTTCTGCCACCCTTTCCTCCCAAGTCCCTTTTCTCGCATATTGTTGCCTCGGCCCCCTGTCATACCCAGTATGGAAGTGTAAAACAAAGCTATCTGCTTAGATTGATCATTTATATATTATACATAGCCCTAATGTTCTTCTGTTCACAGAATCTGACTTTTCTTTTCCTTGTCTTTGTTTTCGAAGACCCCCAAGGCTTCAGAAAGTCAGAGGACATTTGGTGGATTTAAGAAAGGTTTTTTAACAAACTCCAAACCAAGAAAGGTAAACTTTACGCAGTCATCAAAATCTACAAACAAAAGTGCTGAAACAGATATGCCTGTGATCAGGGCCAAGAATCCAGAACAAAAAACCAAAGGAATAGAGATACCAGAAGTTCAGGAAGCAATGAAGTCTAGCATACCAAGCTTGGAGAACAAAGGTCACTAAAACATCCTTACTTGGCAGTAATCATGAATGAGAAATTGTCTGCACTGAGATCTAGAGAAGCAACATTAAAGCTGAAAGTGTGCTACTTTGATTAAATCAAAGGGGTTTGTAGGGGGGGGGGGGGAGGATATTTAACAGGGCTATCTTGCAGCATATAATTTTTGAGTAAATGTTAGCAGAGCTCTCAAGTATTGCGCATTGAGCATGAGACTCATGCAAACAAATTTAATCTTACACGCTCACGCTGAAACTACTATTTCTCATGCATTTAAGGTTCCTTCATGCTTTAGTCCTGCCTATTAAATTACCCACCTACATAATTAATTATCTTTTTGGACATAATTTACTCCTTGTTCGCCTTGTACTCTCTTCGAACACTTAGCAACAGTAGGAATTCTTGTGCAGAGAAAGTGTTTCTGCAGTCAGTGGAATATAAACAGTTACTTTTAAAGCAACACATTTCCACTCAGAACGCAGGAAAACACATCTTAGCTACTTCAATTTTTTAAAATTTTATGGGAGGCATGCCCCCAGATCCCCCTAGGAAGGTGACACCTGCGGCATCACAAGTGATGGCTACACTGTCAACAATCTCACTCTTTGGCAACAAATCAACTTGAGAGCACTGTGTTAGTAATTCATACAAAGTTGCCTTCAAGTATCCACTTCCATTCACATTGAGCAGCCTTATTTTTGTCCAAATCAGGAAACCCAAAACCTCTTTGTCATCTTCAATTTGACAACATGAGTTGGGAAGGGGTGCCTCAGAACATCTTTAACTGGAGGTGTTCTGTTGGTTCCCTCACCCAATCTAGCAGTACAAATTAGGGAGTACCCTGAAACTGTCCCCCTCCTCTGTCCCCTTTAAAGTCTGCAAAAATGAGAGAATTTTGGTCTAGTCATGTGACTGTAAAGGTGCATCACTTTTCCCCATTTTTATCTAGATGATAATATAAGTTAATTTAACTTTGTTACATGTTAACTGTAGATTGGATTACAGATGAGCTATTAAAGAAAATTGAGAGCAATCCTTCTCTAGCAAAGCTGCTTATGGATCCCACCTTCACAGCTGCTCTGTCTCAAGTGCAGACAGACCCCATGAAGGCACTGGCCATGTTGGAAAGCCACCCAGAAATGCAGAAAGCTCTTCAAGACTTCAGTGGAATTTTAGGAGAACACTTCACCATGCTTGGAAATGCAAGAGGTGAATCGGTAAGATTGAACCTGATACTGGGAACTAACAAATTCACGAATTTGATTGGCTGAAATCGATATTGAAAGCGGTCTAGATTTTCCCATCTAGACGGGCATCTAGACCGGAAATGTTTTGCAGTGAAAAAGTTGCAAGCTAAAATGCATAATCATTGACTATTTTCATCTAACAATATTTATTTATGGAAGTAACAAAAAGCCTGATGAGAAAAAAAGTAAAGAGGATGAGCAAACTTTAGCAGAATTAAATTCAGCTCCCCACCTTTCACAAGCAGAATGTCAGCTGATCCAAACCAGTTACATTAAACTAATTAAACTGCTCTTGTTTGCTGTGTAATAAACATCTTATTAACCAAGCTTAGTCGGTCTGTATGGGAGAAACTTGACCTTGGTCGTGTGTACAGACCTCGGTCAAGATTCTCCTATACAGACCTCCTGCTCAGTTAAATGAAGAGCTAATTATATACTCAACAAGGTAGAATTAGTCAATACGGTCAAATAAATATAAATTTTGAGCAGTTGTAATTTTAAGTGAACACAAGGTATGTTTCAATCTATAGGAACCAAGCAATCCTCAAGATACCAACATTGGACTGACTGAAAGATCAAGTGCGAGGCAACAACCTCCTGTCCCTCCCTCCCCTGAGGATGAGGCCAAAATGCAGGAAATTCTGTCAGATCCTGAAGTTATGAAAGTGCTTCAAGATCATCAAATACAGCGATTATTGACCTTGATGAAAACCAATCCTGAAACTGCACAGTTGTGAGTAATGCTGCCATCATGTGGTTTTCATTTAACACTAGAAAACAGAATTACTCCATGTTGTGATGAATACTCCATTACTGTTGTTCTGGTAGACACAGTTCAAATGGAGCCAATTCAATAAGGTTTGCACTTTACCCAAGTGAATAGAATCATTAATCATTGCATTTAGGAGAAAGACATTTTGAAGATTGAATGGTATTGCATCACTGAGGTTGAATTAATTGATAAACACAAATTTATTGGCTACACTGAAAGTCAAGCAGTTATCTACTATCGTTCAACAGAAGTCACTTTCAAAGCATATCAGTCTTTTTGTTTGTTATGACTGAACAGTATCAATTACATGATAAAAAAAACTTAATTTTACATCATGGCAAATGTTTAGAGATCTTCCCCTTGGTCATGTCACTGCTTGCTGTATTTCGATGTATGTTAGACCAGTGTACTTTCTTTGACCCTTGACAACTAACAGCAGAAGCAACTCAAACTTTTGTTAGAAATAAGCTTTTTGACATCATGCAACAAGACAAAATGTTCAAAGTAAAAGACATGCAAATTGAAATGTTGTAGTTTTTCACAAGGAGAGTTTAAGTTTGGCTGCCAGTTTCAAATAACAAGTACATATTAACTTTCAATTCATGAACTGTTTTGTAATGAGAAGTTAACATATTCTTTTCATTTCTCTGCAGAGAAGTAAAGAATGCTACTGCTGAAATGAGAGTTAAAATACAAAAGCTGGTGGATGTCGGACTTCTGGGCTTTGCTCAGTGACCTGGCAGAAATTACCAGTAACCTCATTATTGACCATTATTGTGGAGCCTAAAAAGAGCTCCTTAAGTAAATGTCAGGCTGCCCAGTACGATAGACTTCAAGAACTACTATAAGAAAATCTGCCATGCATGGCAACAAGACCCAGCAACATGGCATACCAATCAGTTCAAAGAATCAAATGTGCCAGTAGATGCTGCACTTGAAAGTTTTCAGACATAGATGTTGCATCTGAAAGTTTCATTATCAACCCAAGATAACAGCCTGACATCAGCACAACTCCAGACTGACTTGACAAGTGAATTATGACTATACTGCCTTAATCATTCAAAACTAATCATACGTGAATAGTTTCTGTGTTAGACTTTCTCAAAGTCCTGCATGGCTGTAGCTGGTCCTGGGTCCTTGCACTTGTTTTAGAACATCGCAGACATTTTCATTATCTATAATTCAGCTTTTTGCAGCTCAACTAGATGGAAGAACAGAAACACTAAAAGATGTAAAAACAAGATTCAGTACATTTTGTCAAGATTAAATCTCAATAAAAAGATGCCCTGCACCTTGCAATCTTCTTTTGGTCCCCTATGCCTAATGAAAAATCAAAATTTTATTCTACAAAACATGCTCTCAGCTTTGTTACTCTTCAAATCCTTGCAGTTGCTGATGCAGTTGGCATTAAATTCTATGATTTGTTCAACATAAGAAACAAGTCTTAGGTAAACCCAACAAAGCAAAATCTAACGTAAAAAATTGTAAAATATCATGAAGTTAAAAACTTAGTTTCATTAACAATTCAGTAGTTTGTGTTTTGTTACACAGGATAAGAGAGAAAAAAATGTTTGGATTAGGAGGGAACTTTATTGTTTATCTAAACATGACTGTCGCCATGTATTGTACAGATTTTGCCAATGACATTAAATTAATTCCACTTCTTTACAATGAGATGCTTAGCTATGATAATTTTACCACATAAATATAGTTAGCAACTAACTTGATAAGAAAATATGAACACTAAACAAGTTGCCAAAATACAAAGTGCAAAATAAACTTTAGCATATTTTGCCAGTATCACCTTTTTAGCAAAGAAATAGTTTTTCTTTAATGGAGATGTGTTCGTCAAAATAGTAATCAAAATGTGGTCTAATCAGTAACAATCATTGTTCCATCTTTCATGAAGTGAGGACTGAACTATGTTAACCTCTTCCTATGCAATGGCTTTACCCATTTTTGACTCTGGTGAGTCAACAAAAGCTGACAGAAAACCACTATTGTAACATTTTGTAAATGTTGATAACATGGTCAATTCTTCCTGCTGGGTTTGAGGGTGAACATTTGATGATATTTTCTTTGCTTTATATTTCTTTTTTAAGTGATTCCTGCTTGACTTTGTAGTCATTCAGTGCAGCTTTGATGGCATCCTCTGCAAGCACTGATGATAAAAAAAACAACAAAACATTCTTAGTAACCCACTGAATGTTACATGGAACACAAGAGACACAATTTTCAGTCATAATATTGTTTTTGAAAAGTATGCTATACTTTCAGAAATCTAAGCAAGAGATAAATGTAAATTTATCATCTGCCAAAGGTTGGTGTTTAACTGGGAACAATAGGACATACACATGATTGGTACATTCTTCCCAGTAACTACTCTGTAAAAGCCTCTGCAAACAAGGAAATGTTGTGGAAAAATTGTTTCTCAAGACAAGGGACAATATTTTGGCAACAATGTTTCCTTGTTTCCCTTGGCCTTAACTTACTTGAGCAGTGGAGTTTTACTGGAGGAAGAGAAAGTTCCTTGGCGATTTCAGTGTTTTTAATCTCTTTAGCATCGGTTACCTGCAAAATCACAGATATCATTAATAATCACCGTTACAAAGCATGGATTGCACCTTGACATAAACTATCCTGGGCTCAGCTGCTGAAAGATCAATGAACTAATCTACCGCGTGCGTGAAGATTTATTTCAGTTTTATATCTTGTTCTCTGTATCAAGAGTTCATTAACCCAATTATGCTACACATATTTTAGCTACAGAAATGTCTGAAAATAAAGAGATTATATGTGCTAGCCTTATTATAATTACATTCAATTCAATTGAATGACTGAGCTGCAATTGAATTGCAGCTCAGTCAGATTTTTTTACCGATTTTCCTTTGACCCACTCAGTAGCCAGGGAACTTGAGGCAATGGCAGAACCACAACCAAATGTCTTGAACTTTGCATCCACAATTTTACCATTTTCATCAACTTTGATCTGAAGAATTAAGCATGCTCATTATAACCAACATTACATTATTGTTAAAACCTGATCAACAACAAGAAACATTGTTCAAAGACTAGATAAAGAAGAAAGGTCGTATGTACAGGTCATGAAATGATTTCAAGTGCAAGTGGGAATAAATAAGCACAAGTAAATCATTCAAAGACTAAAAAATTGCACAAGCCTGTACGGCAAGTGCTATTTGTAGTCTTTGAAAAATTGATGAGTGCTCATTTATTCCAA